TTTTTTTTTTTTTTGGGCGCAGTTTCTTCTTCTTTTTTTTTTTGCGCGCCGACCCTGCCCCGACCCCCGATCTTTTCGGAATGAGTCGTTTTCAATGAATTTCTTTTGCCTGGGCGGTGTACTTGTGGTTTAAGGTCATCCTGAGCGAAAATGAATGCTACATGTGCCCCTTCACCTTGTGGCGAGCGCCAAATGGAGTTCGGGTGTCGTTGGAAGTAGCGACTGGAGTGCCAGCATATAACACAAATGCATTACCACAGGAACAGCAAGTTGTGCGGTGGGTGCAGAAATGGGTGGGGGACAAATATGAGGTGTTTTCCCTGCCCTGAATGTCAGCAGTGAGATTTGTGCATCAAACAGCCACGGGGACGGAATACGTGATCGTGATGTACTTTGTTGAAGTCATCCCTCGGAAACCGGGTTGGCCAAGACTGGGAAAAAATGGCCTGCACAGGGAGGAGTTTGCCCAAGTCTTCGGTCCGGTGGTGCTTCCGCAAGAGTACTGTATAGCCCATGAGACCTCTTTGGTCATCCTCAACAGCGTTAACGCGCGCTTGCCGGCGGAAGATCGTGTGGGGACTGAGCACTTTTTGAAAGGGGTGGGGGTGTGGGAAATGGGAGAATAGGGGATATATTATCCTATAGGGTGTCACTAGGATGATGGCACCCCTCCCCGACAACAAAATAGAGGAGGGTAGGACTGGATAGGGGAGAACAGATGGGAGAGTAGGGAATGACGTAAGTAATAAGGTAATGCAGAGGCAAGGGAGCATAGGAGGAAGGAATCAAGTCGCGTAGGTACGAAAAGGGTTAGATGCAGAGGGTGAGGCAAAGGAACAGGTTGAAGCTGATGACATGGAACGTGAGGGGCTTGGGAACGAATTTGTTAAAGGCCAAGCGGCGGGAGCTCAAGCAGAAGTTCAAAGCAGAGCAGATCGATGTGGTCTGCCTTCACGAAACAAGTTAGACGAGGCCAAGACCGAGAACCCTGCACTGTGGTGGAAGGGCCACCAGGTGTGGGCCGCGGCGCAGGGCACCAAAGGGGAGGTGTGAATCTTGATATTGGCCCACTTCCGAGGGGAAACACTAGACTGGTTCTGCGACTCGCGGGGGCAATGGGCGTGGGTAATTCTGCAGTGGGGAGAGGAGAGATGGGGAGCGATCACAGCCTACGGGCCAACGGAGATTGGGACGCGAAGGAGAATGTGGGAACGGATCCAAGCTTTAATACCTGAGGTGGGCAAGATCATCATTGCAGGCGATTTCAATTCTGTACTGACCCCTTCGCTGGATGCGGTGGGAGACAGGCAGATGGAAGTTGACTCGCTGGCGCTGGTGAATGGTATGACTGAACTGGGATGTACTGACTCCTTCATGGTAATACACCCTGAGGACAGAACCTATACCTTTTGCGGTAACACGGTTACCCGGAGAAGTAGAATTGACATGATCTGGGCATCGGCCAGTCTCAACGGCGTCATACAACAAGCACAACTGTTATACCGCGTTTGACGTGGGGACGCAGCCATTCGGGTAGCATGCTTTATGTTCTAGACAGTAAGCTTGGCAAAGGTCTTATGAAGTTGGGGATGGGCAGCCTTCTGGATGGTAATGTCTAAAGCCAACACTCTCCCACACACCACACGCAACCCACTCACACGCGCAATCACACCCGTGTTGGCTGACGACCTTACTGATACTGACTGGGAGGATCCAGCTGACTATCTCAGTTGGTTGGCACCAAGAGTGCCACAGGCGGCCATGGGGATTGAACCCACAACCTCATGAATGCCGATTGCGTTTCTAACCAATTGAGCTAGGCCGATGGATGGAGCCCAGATTCTTTGATCGCAGGAGGGGGGGGGGAAAAAAAAAACTGAAAAACGAATAGCAAGCTCCTGAGGGCTGTACCACCCCACACGCGGCCAGGAAAAGGGCATTTCAAGCTCTAAACTACTAGCAGCGTATCTAGTATCTACCTATGTTCTACCAGAAGATTCATGCTCATTTTGCACATTTGGTCAGTAATGGAGCAAGGCCCTCGATCTCCACAGCTCTTGTGGCAAAGGTAAGTACGTTTTTGTCCTTTTTTTTCCCCGAAAGTCAGTACATTTTTTATTTTATTTTCTTTTCTTAGTAAGCCCTGCCGACGAGGCAGGGCAGTCCATTGTAGATTTCGTTACTTGGTCGTAGTAAACAGAAGAATGCTTCGATACTGTACTTCTGGGAAGATGCAGTAGAAGAGAGAGAAAGCAAAAGCCGAAACAACCCAGACCGAAATCGCCCGCCCGCCCCCAGTTTGCAACGGGAAAAAAACTCCACCCCTGGGAAACAATGGACGGCGCCCTATACTAAATTGCAACGACCTTGACAAGATAACCTGCCATACAACCGGTCTTAGGGACGACTGCGACCGGACCCTATTTTCTGCTGTCGGAGACCCCAAACGAACCCATCCTAGAGGAGCTGTACTGCACGACCTTACCGAAAATAGAAAGAACATGAAACGACGAAAATGGAACCCACACAAGTGCAGCCTCCTGGCTGCGAAATCTGCCCGATGGCCACCTCAGACCACTCGGCCATTATAGCATGCTACCCAGTGGGAAACATTGAAATAGTCCGCCCACCGAAGTCCCTTCCAGCATGGGTGTTGAAAAGTTAGGAGTTTTGCCCAACTGTAACCCAGTTCTGGGAGGGCTGGATGGCATGTTAATGCATGTAACAACGGCACTGCAAGATCTGCGAAGTAAATTGAACAAGCAGTTGAGGGGCAGCTATCTGGCCCACCGAAGAACGGGGGAGGAATATGTCGGGAAGCTGGAAGAGTTGAACTCTGGCCCCGTGGAAGGCCAGTCGGACGATGAATGGTGGGCAGAAAGGGTGGAGGCCGCTCGGGGGTGGAGGCCGCTCGGGGATGGAGGGAGTGGCAGGAGGAGGAGGCAACCAGGTGGGGAAGGCGCACCAAGGAACTGTGGATTGTAGTGGGGGAACGTATGTCACGGCAGTTCTTCGCTGCGCTGGAGAAGAAAAAGGAGGCCCCGCTGAATCGGCGCTGATGACGGCAATGGACCACCCGTTCGACGGCCAGCGGGATAGGCAGCGCACCACAAGGGGAATCTTAAAGTATGTCACCGAGTTCTACTGACAGCTGCTCACGGAAGAGGAGACATGGACGTCTGCAAATATGGCAGCGGAGCCAGAGCAGGAAGTATGGAAGCACATCCAGAGCCGCCTCAGCCTGGACATCACATGCAGGATGGAGGCAGACGTGATGATGGAGGAGGTGGAAAGGTTGATTGCTCCCCTGCCGCAATTGAAAGCACCGGGCTTGGACAGGATTCTGGTGGAACTTTTCAAGGATTTCCGTAATGTTTTTGTTATCTTGCTCACAGCGGCCTACAACGAAGCGCTTAGAGCCGGATTGTTCCCACCGGGATTCGCTGATGCCTATGTCGTCTTGCTGTATAAGAAGGGGCAGGAGGATCTGCGGAATCAGCGGCCAATATCCATTTTGAACGCAGTATACAAGATATTGGCCAAAGTCTTGGCAACCCGCCTCAGCGATGCCCTACCTCACATCATCGATCACACACAAACGGGCTTCATGGCGGGGCACCAAATCCTCACAAACGTCCTGATGGCCCAACAGGTGCTAGAAGAGGACCAGTGCACAGGGCGAGCAAGAGCATTTATATCTATAGGCCTGGAAAAGGCATATGATCGAGTACGCTGGGAGTTCATGCTGCAAAGCATGGCGCGTCGGGGTATAGGCGGAATCTTCTGCAGTTGGGTCTGCAGCCCGCTTAAGGGAGCAAACACTGTTATGCAGGTGAACAGGGTGTGATGAAACCTGCAGATTCTCAGTGGACTGTACATTAGGATGAGGGCGAAGCCTGGGGCTTGCCTCGGTCTGGTCGCGTCGTAGGTTAAATTCGTGATTTTGTGTTTTCTGTGCTGTTGCTGTGTTTTTTTTTTT